TCGGGGGAAGGGGGGGGGGGTCGCCGTGGGATGGAGGTGATTGATATTCCTTGGCCTACTTTGGGGACCTACTTGTGAAGGTGAAAATTTTTTGGGGGTCTTGGGACCTTCATCTGGGGGGAATTTTATGGTGTGACTTTTTTTTTGGGGGGCTTGGGGAGTTTTTTGGGGTTTTTGGGGTGTCGACGACCGGGAAATTAGATGCTGAGGGTTTCGAGGGCAGTTGTGGAGAAGGAAAGGGCTCTGGGGGTTTGTAGGGGTTTGTACGGGTTTTTGGGGGATTTTGATACATTTTGGGGGTTTTTTGGCGTACGGGGGGATTCGGGGATCTCACGGGAAAATTCCAGTTTTGGCGCCTAAATTTTGAGGTCATTCTCTTCGTGGAGGGGGGACTTTTGGAGATTTTTTAAGTGAACCTGGGGTTTGTTGCTACGTCGGGGCTTCTGGGATGTTGCAATGCCACGTGATCAATTTTTTCGAACATTCAGGGAAAATTCAGTTTTTAGAGGATTTGGGGGGCATTAGAAGTCAGAAAAATCCATAGGGGTTTACATCCATATTTTGTTGTTAAAAGATGATAAAAAGTCGTGGAGAACGATATAATAAAAGCATCAGTTCAAAAACAAATTTCAGGAAAAAATCTAGAGATTATTTCCATAATTTTTATTTTGGCGCCAAAAGTTTATTGTCTCGTGTCCATGATCAGTGATGAACGATTGAAGTCGATGAATTTCTAGTTTTTCATTTAAATTATGAGTTTCTATCATCTTTCGTGGATTTATTAACTTTTTATGGATTTTTTTGGGGGATTTTGTGGTGAAAGTGATATTTAATGGTGTAAATGAGAATTGAGATGGAAATTGATTTGTTAAAATTTTTTTTATCCAGATGTTGGGAATTCCGGGTGGAGTACTGGGGTTAACCATCAGATTAGGGCTGACATAGCAAGTAACTACCTTCTGGTAGGATATTACTTGTTGTTATGCCTCAACGTGATCGAGAATTAGTTGAACTGTCTTCGTAAAAGGAATTTCATGTACAACAATGATCAGTTGTATCATTGTCACATCAGTTGTTGATGAAGCCTCGTAGCATTGAGCATCAACGTAAAGCAGTTACCTGCTACATTGCATTTATGTACCATTTATGTCGGAAAGGTAAGTCCAGTCATTAATTGATTAATTACTACTCAATAAACAATCATTTCTCTCAAAAATTCATCGACTGTCGATGGTTTTTCGAGGATATCTCGGTAAGAAATGGTTTCAGAGGAAAGTGTTAGGGGTATTTTTTGTAGCTGAGGAAATTCTCTACGGAAAATGTCCTGCAAACTTTCTTCTAACTCCACTCATTAACGAGATAATTGAAAAAGTATCGAGGGATAAAATCGTTCTGAACCAATCAAGAAATGTTGAGTTAACAATTGTTAATTGTGGGATTATCTGATCACTGAGAGGATTTAGAAGAAAATGGAAGAGGGATTTTTTGTAAACGATGAAATTCTTTACGGAAAATGTCCTATAAAATTTTCTTGCTAAATCAGTCATTGATGGGATATTTGATGAATTAGTGGATGATGAAATAATTTGAAAGGAATATGAAATATTCTGGGGGAATCTTCTCCTCAGTGAATGATTTATCGTTTGTCTAGAGCCCCCAGGGCATTTTATTGTTTATTTATTTGCAGAAACGAAGCAACCATGCAGCAGCAGGTGGATACCAATTCGCAGAACAACTCCGTAAGAATTAAAATCCATAAATTCTAAAAATCTTTTCTCCTCTTTCTTCAGGAAGTAATTAATTCGTTTATTTATTCATTGGGGTTGCAGTTAGACGTGGAGGAGCGCGAAAGGCTGTGTAATATACCGAAGGTGAGGCAAAACTCTTTAATATCCCAACATTTTTGTTTTTTTATGTATTTTTCTTCTAAAAACGTTTGTTTTACGCACAGAAATAGTCAAATCTTTATGACCCAACATGAGTTCCCCTCTGAAAAACTATAAATAAGCCACGACAAGTTCATAACTTCTCGGGATATTAATAAAATCGATATTCGAACGTGAAAACCCAGTTTTCGAACTTTGAAAGCAACAATATATTCAATAACCGACTACAGACGTGAACATGCTCCTCCCTGTCGAAGTTATAAAAAAAAGTCAGAGAGAAATTTTGTGAAGAATCTAATTATCCAAAAAAAAGTCTAATAACATTTTTCTCCAACTGCCCTCATTCCTGAAATAATTCGGCACTAAAAAAAAGGCTCTCGAAATGTCAAATTAACCCACTGAACATCTTCACTATTTCCCTAATTATCTCGTTAACGATTGAACTAACGCGAAACGGTGTGGGACGTTATTTGAAGCTGATGAAATTTCCAACGAAAAAAGTGCAATAACTTTTTCACGTAGACTCACCCCCTTCGGAGATATTTTTGATTGTTAGGATGGAGTGTCAGGCCATTTATAAAGTTTTGGGTTTGTCGTTTGTTTTTTTCAGACAAGCGCCCCTGGCACGACAACAGGAGGTAAATTTGTACCTGCAAAGACACCACCGCCTCGAGATGAGCCGGCAGTCGAGCCGGTCAATGGCATTGTCCAGCCACCTGTGGTACCACCACCCACGAGGCCAGGAAGAGTTACGAATCAGCTACAATTTCTCCAAAAAGCTGTTCTAAAACCGGTATGGAAGCACCAATTTGCCTGGCCCTTTCAGCAGCCGGTAGATGCGAAGAAGCTCAATCTACCGGACTACCACAAGATAATAAAACAACCAATGGATCTTGGAACGATAAAGAAACGCCTGGAGAACACGTACTACTGGTCAGCACGAGAGGCCATTCAGGACTTCAATACCATGTTCAGAAATTGTTATGTTTACAACAAGCCTGGGGAGGACGTTGTTGTTATGGCACAAGCACTCGAAAAACTATTCCTTACGAAGGTAAGGCCTCACATCTAATCAGTTAATCAACCACAACTCATTAAAAACCCCAATTACTTCCATAAAGCCAAAAATTCCCATTAATTTCGTCATTATCTCTCTAACGAGTTGTCCTACGACGATAATAGACAAGGAATTTTATCTAGGAAATTCAATTTTCTAAAAAAAATATTCACAACAATTTCCTCTAAACCCTGCCCGTCTCGAGATAATTAACAATTAACAACAGATGAGCAATTCTCTCTGGAAATAAAAAACACCTCGTTACTTTCTCATCTATCTCGTTCAAAATTTGTTGTACGACAAAAAGTGATGAGAATTTTTATTTCGAGAATGGAATTATCTTTAAAAAAGGTCTATAACAATAAACTCTAAAGTCCTCCATTACCGAGATATGTACAAAAAATTATTTTGCCTCCCTCAGGTAGCACAAATGCCTCGAGAGGAGATAGAGCTTGAGGCACCAGTGACAAAAGGCCCCAAGGGAAAAAAAGTTGGTCGTGTTGCACCGATGACTGGTCCACCAGCGCCAGGTGCTGTTCCTGGTGCTGTTGCGGGTGTTGGTAGAGGTCGTCCATCGTCAGGTGCTGCAACAGTTTCATCGAGTGTACCAAACAGTCTACCACCAACAGCCACAACAACTGGCACAACTGGTGTACTACCAATGCCACCAATTGGCACTCAAGCACCACCAACTGTACCTGGTAGCACCAATACCACGACAATAGCACCACCAATGCCAATAAGTGTAACACCAATGGCAACTCACAATTCATTACCCCAACAAGTTGTACCACCAGCAACTGGTTATCATGCACAACCAGCTATGGAACCACCAACACCACCAGTACAACCAACACCTCAGGTTGCTGCTGCACCAACTGTTCTGCCACCGTCTCAACCAGCTAAACTCAAGAAAGGTGTTAAGAGAAAGGCGGATACAACAACACCAACGGCTAATTCATTTGAACCCATGTATCCACCGATGGATTCGAAAATTGCTAAATTACCAACGAGGAGGGAGTCTGGGAGACAGATCAAGAAGGTAACATGGGGTTAATTACTTCATTTTAAATATTCGTTTAATCTAGTATCGAAAATTATGGGAATTACAGGGAGTCTAGACTCTGCAAATTCATTTTAAAATCATGAAATTTATTTCAAGAGTTTCATTTTCTCATTTCTCAATTATAAAGCGATAAAAATTGTTGGGAAATCATCTTGAGACCTCTCATAATTTATTGTGACTCAATAATTACAATTTATTAATTAAATCAGTATAAAGCTCACGTCAAGTGTACGTCGCATAGTTTAATTTGGAATATTAATTAATGTATCTTTTTTTTTTCATCGTCACAGTTTATTGTTGTGATTGTCGTTGGCTTGCATGTATAATCACGTCATTTGCATTAACATACTAACAGAGGGGTTGATGATGGGGCTGTTTCAGCCATCGAGGCAAGCGGAAGACGGCCTTGTGCCATTCCATCAGGCCAACATGCCCCTCATGGGAGCTATGGCCCAACAGGTACACAATATTTATCATCAAACATATCTGTGATTGAGGAAAATCAAATAATCCAACGTTTCAATCAAAATCCTGTTGTTTTTCTTTCTAAATAAACATCAATTTCCTTTTGTCTCTCTTTTTTTTTCTATTTCTTTCTCTGATTATTTCTGGATATTTTTGATTATTTTATTTTCCTCAGTCAAACATCTATCTCGCCATCTCATCTGTGGTGTCTCGTTATTTTTTTAATTACCTCAACAAATTGTAGAGTTTTAATTATCAGAGAACGTCAATAATTATTTATATTTCTTCTCTTCAAGAAAGTGAGTTTAGTAAATCTCGAATAACTCCTGGAACGACGATGCGATTTTGACGAGTCTAGGTTCATTTTGAAGGGATTTTAATTCTATTTTAAATGAGACTAGATTTTTGAAAATTGACTCGACAGTTCCGGAGATATTCGATATTGAAAATGATCTATTTCTTTCTTTCTGTTTTTTTTTTCAATTTTTTATGAGTGGAATGAAATAGGAAATCAAATTCTAGCCTCAACACGTGGGTGGAAAATCGAAGGAGAAACTCTCGGAGGCACTGAAGTCCTGCAATGAAATCCTGAAGGAGCTCTTTTCAAAGAAACACTCGGTAATTACTCGACAAAGCCTAATTACCCAATCGCCCCAAACAAAACTCGACTGTTTCACCCGGATATTTCGAGAATGAGTGGTTTCACGATAAAATCCGTCCCCACATTTTCTCTAGCTCTTTAAATTCTCTAAAAAATCAGTCTCTTGACATTTAACCCTAAAATCACTCAGTACCGAGATATTCCCGGAACAATCGATCTAAAATTTAACGAATTCCCTAGAATCGCATGTTGTGAAAAATGCAATTGCTATCTGCTTTATCAAGGGATACGCGTGGCCATTCTACAAACCCGTTGACGCCGAGCTACTGGGCCTCCACGATTACCATGACATCATAAAAAAACCGATGGATTTAGGTAGCGTGAAGACGAAAATGGACAGCAGAGAGTACAAAACAGCTCAAGAATTTGCTGGTGATGTCAGACTGATCTTCACAAATTGCTACAAATATAATCCACCGGATCACGACGTTGTGGCAATGGCCAAGAAACTCCAGGATGTATTCGAGATGAGATTTGCCAAGGTTCCTGACGAGCCAATGGGACGAATGATGGCGATGAAGGGTAGCAGCAGTGGTAGCAGTACATCAGGATCAGAATCATCATCTGAGACTGATGACTCTGAGGCTGAGAGGCGAGAGAGGCTTGTTGCACTCCAAAAAGAGCTCAAGGCAATATCAGGTCAAATCGAAAAACTCGTTGAAGAGTCTGATCGTAAAAAGGGTAAAAAGAAAAAGCCTGAGAAGACGAAACCAAAATCCCTGAATCGTGCCCCAAGTATGGGTAGCCACAGTGGTGCCATGGAAAAATTGATGAAGCCAAATGTTGGAATGGCTAATGTATCGGACAGTGTCAATGCCAGTATAGCTAGTGTTGCAATGGGTGGTGGTGATCTTAAACTACCATCTGGTATGGCTGTTAATGTTGGTATGGGTATGCCTGATCATCATCAGGGTATGTCAGCTGGTGGTGGTAAAGCTCATGCAACAGCAGCTGCCAATGCTAAACAACCCAAGACTAAGAGTAGAGGTCCTGGCAAAGCAACTGCTCAAAATGCAGCCCAGAAGAGACCAAAAACAAATAGCAGATCAGCTGGTACTAAGAAGAAAAATGCAACGAGTCAACCACCACCGATAGCCTTCGACTCTGAGGACGAGGATAATGCCAAACCAATGTCCTACGATGAGAAGAGACAGTTGTCATTGGATATCAATAAATTGCCGGGTGACAAATTGGGAAGGGTTGTGCATATTATTCAGTCGAGGGAGCCATCGCTCAGGGACTCGAATCCTGATGAGATTGAAATTGACTTTGAGACACTCAAGCCGTCGACATTGAGAGAGCTTGAGAGTTATGTTGCATCTTGTTTGAGGAAGAAGGTGCATAAGAAACTCAGTGGTAAGAGCAAGGACGAGCAGATGGCTGAGAAGAAGCAGGAGCTCGAGAAGAGGTTGCAGGATGTCACCGGGCAGTTGGGGAATGTCAAGAAGCCACCGAAGAAAGGTGAGAAATATTCATAAAATAATAGAATAGTCACGTAAAAATTATAAATCATCCCCTGGAGCTGTCTCTATTTTCTGTCCTAATGATCGGAGAGATAACATTTGTTGAATCATTTGTTTTTGTTGGTTTGACAGAAGATAGCAGTAAATCAGCCGACGTGGGTCCAGGTGGTGCCAGTGGTCCATCCAGACTGTCAGCATCGAGCAGTAGCAGCAGTGACAGTGATTCCAGCAGTAGTTCACTATCATCTAGCTCCAGTGATTCGAGCGACAGTGAAGCAGGTTAGATAATTACCTCATAAAAAAAATGAAATTCAGCTGTTGCAATAATCACAAGCAAATGAATGATAAATCAGCCCTAATTGGGAACAGTGGAGGCACTTGTTTTTAATCATTTAAATGAATGCCTCCAGTATTAAATACGAACTGAAAATTTTTTCTTATGCCATTTCGATTGTTTGGAGGACATTTTGCGATAATAAGGTAACACGTGATTAGTTTATCATTGATCGTCAGAATTAATCTAGATATTTTTCTCGACAATTCAAATTGTATAATAGAAATTTCTGGGGAATTTTATTGGTATTGATTTTTTTTTCCTTTTTTTTGAGTTCAGACCATTCGAAATGAGGGGAAAGTCTAGTCTTTTGATTATCGAATTGATTTTTTGAATTCTTCGGGTGTTAGTGAATTAATCAATTGAACGTAAGAACAATCAAATCTTCTCTTCTCAGTAATTTGTAAATATAATTCTCTTGAGCTCAAAAATCAATCAATTGTCAGAGACTTTGGGATATGAGAGAAAAAAAAAATATTGTTATCACTCCACAAGCACAAAATATTATCGCAAATGCCTCCAAATTCAACCCCAAATGAACAAAAATATTCCTCACTAGAAAAAAAATAACAAGAAACGGAAAAGAATTATAAATAAATCATTAGGACGGTGTTAGCGTTTAATTGACGTTCTCCAAACGTTAATTACCACAAAAAGTTGATATTCAAGTGGAAATTAAATGTCCAGTCCTCCCGAAAACCCAAGCATCACATAAAATCAATTGTAAATTTTCAAATAATTAATTGAGAGAGATCATAATTCCCAATCGATGAATTATAAACAATTGTTTGATCAGACAATGTGTAAATGTTTATATCCCATTGAATAATCCAATGTGTATGATACGTAATCTGTAATTATCCTGGACACTCAATTTTCAATTGAACAGTTAAATTAATTTAAGTAATTATAGCCAATTCTTTTTTTGTTTATTTTTATGGAAAAATGAAAAAAAAAATACAATCACAAGATAAAAAAAAATAATAACGAGCAGGTGAGCTAGTGGAGTGCAGACTGTGTTTAGAGGATACCATACGCCATATACCAGCTTTATTTAATTAATGAATAATTATTCATTAATAATCAGAACAAATAACGAAATTGATCAACGAAAATTCAAATAATTCATTGATTCCTTTTTGTCGTTTTTTTGCATGATAAATACGATTGAGATACTATAATAGTTCGATTGATCGTCGAATTTGTTCATCTACTTTATCGACAAGATGTCGGCCATTTTGTCGATGGCCTCAGGCCAGAGGAAAATGGTGGCAATACGACAGAAAAAGTAATTAATCTATAAAATTGAAAAATCTCTCGCAATCGTTTCACTCATTTTATTATCATTTTTTGGTTAATTTTGCGATAATTAGAAAAACATGCGTGAATGAAGGGGTGGGGAGGGGTGGAAGGGAGGGGGTTGGGGTGAGTACAAGAGTGAGTGGATTGAAGATTGAGGATATAATTAATCAATTAACAGATTAATGAATTAATACCGATAGGAAAAGCCTACGAATTTAGATATTTGCTTTCATGAAAAAAAAAAATAAATAAATAAAATTTCCAATGCCAAAATGGCGGAATCAGCTGATACCACGTGATAAGAGTGGGACAACTCGAGCGAACAGGACTGCCCAGTCCCCTCAGTTATACGTTTTTTTTTTATTCATTAAAAAATCATGAGCTAATCGGGATATTTCTAATTTTTTTTTTTTAATTAAAGAAAGTGTTTATGAAGAATGCAGACAATGTGTATTGGTGGCTGGATATTTTTTCATTGAATTAAGCGCATTGTAGCACGAGTTGTAAATTCCAGATATTAATTTTTCAGCCAATAATGATCAAAAATTAATTTTTATAAATTAATTTTTTGTTGCATTGAATTGGGGGAATTTTAATGACTACTTTCCCCAATTGACAAAAAAAAAAGTACAAGATGTAGGTGATGTTTATGATGAAAAGACAATGGAGTGGAGTGAAACCGATTTTATTGGTGTCTGGGATATTTCGGGTTGATAATAATTGGTCAGAAGTCTAGTTTTCGTATTGTAGAATCGACGTCACAGCTCTACCAATTGAGAAATCTACCAACTGGCAGATAAAGCAGGGAAACAAAAATGGCAGTATCAACTCACCATCAAATCTGCTGACATGCATCTACCGGTGATTACCGACTGTTAGCTCTACCGACTCTCTCCTGAAAAATTGTATTGCGGAAACAATTGGTAGAGAAAACAGCCGGTAGAGTCAATAATCGGTAGATGCTGGTAGATCAGTTGGTGAGCAGGCATTACGATTTTACCCAACTGTTTTATCTACCGATTGGTAGAGTTTTACTCCGCTAGAGCTGCGATGATTGAAATTCAGAGTGGCTTTAACCCACGGTAGATTATTTACCCAATTAGATCGGTAGATTTCTGACCACAGATTAACCCTCAAAATATTCCAACTCAATAAATCCCCATTCTCAACCTCCACCCGTAAGTTGATAATCAAAACTCAGGAAATTGACAAAATCAACCAAAAAATAATGAAATCTACCAAAAAAAAAAAAAGAAGAAGAAGCAATCAATTAGAAGAATTAACGACGCGAGGTACGACGATAAGGAAATTTATGAATAAACAATAAAATCGAGGTGTTGAAAGACGTCAACAATTGGTAATTAACAATAATGAATAAATAAAGGCGAAACTGGCCTCCAAACACATTGTTTGCACTCCGCTAAGCTTTTCTCCGGTGATTAAATCATCAGTTAATTGTCAATAATCATGAATTATCATTTGTTCACTTTATCCCGCAACTGAATGATTAATTGTACTTTTCCACAAACAAATACGATAACAACAATGTCGACGATTGATATTCCATTGAAATTAATTTTTTATTAATTGCTAATTATTCGGCGTGGTTTTACACGCCAAATGAACAATTCGATTGAACAATTAACAATCAGATATGGACGATTGTTGATCGATGATGATTATTCCCTCCTTATTGTTTATCGATGATTAATTGAACAAATGGGAATTTTTGATCTACCTTTTTTTTTCTTTTTAGCGAACACTCGTCCTAATTAACAAATACAAATTAATTACTGAGGATGATGAGAGGTTTTAGAGGTCTTTTATACGCGATTTTTCGAGAGACAATTAGTTATAGGGTTTAATAAACAATAACTACTTTTTTTTCCCCTTTAATTCTCTCTGTTTTTATATTTCTATGTGTAAATGTCTGCTCCGTATGAGTTTTGTTGAGAATATCATGTAAATTTAATTAATTAATTTACTATATAAATATATATATATAGAGAAGTAATATAAGGAGAATTATGGACGCAATTCAGATAAGGTGCTTGAGTAATTGGCACGGTAATGAATTTAATTTTATTCGAGAGGTGGGAATATGTGGTACAATGATAAATCTACCGGTTACATTGTTTTGATCAATCGATCTACATTTGCTTAACGATTGTAGATTTTTCCATCTATTTTCACGGGATATATTCCGATTGGCTTATTCTATCTACCTATATTATAAAACGGGAAAGTATTCCGTGTTTGGTAGATGCGTGAGGCATCGGTAGATCGGTAGATACGTTTGTTTCGATAGAATCATTGTATCGACAGTCAATCGCCGATAAGTCGAGATCGGCAGAGTGAAATTGAACGATTTTTTTTTCATTTTGAAGGTTTTCTCGAGGTCTTCAAAGTGAGATATGATTCGTTCAATATGCATTCGTCGATCGGGAGATATTGACGCTTTTGTTGTTTCCGTTTTGCCTCGATTTTGGTTAGACAGTGAAAAATGGTTAGAGATGATTAATCAAGGGTGAAGATCATAATTGCACTCGAGTACAATTAAATATTGTTTAATGCACTCACAACGGCGTACTTAAAGAATTTAATAACTGAAAAACCGATGATTTTATTGATAGATCATTGATTGGAGATAAACAAATTATAAACAATGTAAAATGAATGAATTTAATATTAGTACCAATTCTGGTCGGTCAAAGCTCGGTCAGAAAAAGTGTTCGTCGATTTTTAAGGAGATTATAAATTACGTCATATGATAGGATTTATATGAAAAAATGTGAAGAATTAAAAATAACAAATTGTGGTGAAATAGGCTAAAGGATCGGATATCGATTTGTAGAGTTGATGTTGACGAGGTAGAATGGACGGACCGATTTTCCCTGAGTTTTTGACGCAAAGACAATTAGTTTCGTGTACGTGAGATTTTTTTTCCACCTAATTTTGAGAAATTGAACGGTGTGGAATTTTTCGTCGGATTCTTTTGAGGATATCTCGAGAGTCAGTGGGTTTAGGAGAAAATGTCACGAGGGATTTTTTGTTCAAAATTGAATTCTCTTGAAAAAAAGGTTCAGTGATAGTGCAACGTAGGACCACTCATTAACGAGATAATTGGGTTTTCATGAATGGTATCATTTTTTTTTTTTCGAGAGAAATGTTTTATTTGTTAATTAACGAGTTATCGGGGGAGGGAGTGGGATTAGGGGAATATGCAAGAGGAACTTTTGGCAGAGCATTGAATTCTCCACAAAAAATGTATCTACCATTTTTTGCGTGGAACCACTAGTTTCCGAGGTATTCTCAAAAGTATCGGATTCATTTTGTTTTCTTTTAGCAACTAGATTATTAAAACCGCATAGGGCATTTAATATTAACAAAAACCATTCGTATTGCCTTCCGAAAATTTCCACCAATCTTCAACTTCCATTCGTCTTCAATTATTGAACAATTACCAAGAATAATCCTGAATAATGAAAAAAAAATCAACCAAAAAATTGAAATCTCAATTATTTTTCATTCTGTGGTTGCAAATAACAATTGAATTGAAAATATTATTCAAAAATTCTTCGAGAACTGTTCAATTATTGAATCCACACTCCATAGTGAAAATAGATAATTAGTTTTCCGGATAAAATTAATTGATAACCGACAGTAATAAATTCTGGTTTCTGTTCACTCATTTTTCATCGCGACGCGTTTTGTAAATATCTCGAAAGAACACAGAAATGAGAGGGAAAAAAAATTTAATAATAACGCTAATGTATGATTAAGTATTAATAATAGATTAAGATTGAATTGAACAATTTTTAAAGCGATTATGGATGAATATGGGAATGGAAACCGAATTTCCCTCGGACTTATTGATATTTTCATATAAATATTGAGCGGCTCGAGGCTCGTAAGAACCTAATCAGATTGATTGAATCAGTTCGAGGAGATAGTCCATGAAATTTCTAATCAAAAAAACTAATTAAAACTCCATTTTGCCCCACCGGATCATTAAAAATCGAAAATACAAATTTTTTCGAGTGAAAAAAATCTCACTTTCTCCTCACAAATCGTTCTTAAACAAACAATTGTGCAAATTGGATTGTTAATTAGTATTTTTAATAGAAAATTCTTCTGTCTCTCGATTGAGCCAATCCCCATCCATCGAGCCCGAGCCATTCACGACAGATCTCACATTTTGTGCTACGACAAATGATTTTCCCCTTGAAAAATTGAGTCCAACATTTACCTATCCGTAGTAATTACTCAATTTTTAATTTACCATTAAAACAATGAATGACTAAATAACGATAAAACGCAACTAGATAAACAAAATGAAAGGCGAGACATTTATTTGTTCCGGGATGAATAATTGTGACGAGAGAAAACGAAACGATAGAATAAATAATAAATAAAAAAACAAATGTGTGCTCGAGTGGGGAATCATAAAATTATTGTAATGTATTGCGCAATTGAATCGCAATGAATTATTGGAAAGATTATGAATTAATGTAGAGTGAAACGAGAAATGTTGTTTTGCGAAAGATTTTTTAATTAATATAAATGAAAGAAAATAATGCAGTGAATCATGAGATATGAAAGTCCAAGTGGAGAGAGAAATAGTGGAGATCATACGATTGAGATATTTAAATTAAATGAAAAATAAAAACAAAAAAAAACATTGTTGTACACAGTGATACAATTATAATATAAGTATATGAATAAAATCTATCAGTAAATACATGGCTTTTTTTTTATATGTCTTTCTTCAGATGTTTATTAATTTGGCTGGTATCCTCTGACACATGCACTCCAATTAGTCCTTATTTATGTGATCAATTGGTGATTAATTGGTGATCTATGGATCAATTTATTGGTAAGAGATATTTTTCCAACATTTTTCCACATTCAATTATTCTTTGCTGGTCGATCTCTGATCGATCTAGCGAGGGCGAGAGGAGACGAAAAAATAAAATTTCAATTCAGAACGACTCAGGGGAATCCCCAGCTGAAGACAACAGCCCATTCTGCCCCAATTTTTATTAAATTCATTGGGAATTAGAATTTTTAGTCGAATATGTGGTCCCAGGGCAGAATAGACTGAATAATTTTTCAGTTGAAATTTTCCTAGAAGTTTTCGCGGTTTTTTTTTTAAATTGGAAAATGCCGGATTGTGAGAGGAAATTGTCGTGGATTTTCAGGTAATTCGACGAATCGTCCACCTAGAAAGAAACAGAAGAAAACACCTGGTCCTGGAAACCTCACGTTACCGGTACTTAAGTCTATTATAATTATTCTATTCTAAAAGGTATTCGATTTTGATTAAATAATTATTATTTATACAGGCGAATCACACGGGGAACTTATTGTTGAACAATCAGACAACCGGAAATATAACTGGACTGGTGGTGAAGCCGGTCCTACCGCCATCCAGCCAATTATCGTCGGATCAAGGTAAATAAAACGTTTCACTTCAATTTTTTCAAAAATTTGTTTTCTCTTCGTATCACAAAAAAAAATTATTCAAATTAATTAAATGATGCCTAAAAAAAATCGTCCTCATGTCCTCATGTCCTCTTGGCCGAGTTTGAAGACCAAGGTGAAGGCAATAATATTTTTTTTATTTCCTGTGAAATTCAATTTTTTTTCCTACAATATCTCGACGATATCTGCGTCTATCAATTCCATCAACTTGAATTTTGGAAAAAAAGGGAGAGATAATCCTAATTTATTGGCAATGACATGATATGCGATATAAGAGCAATTTTCTATTTATGTTAATTGGAATTGTGTCTCAGGGGGTAATCAAGCGGCCATAGGGGTGGCAGCAGTGACAGCAGCTCAGGTGATGCCCGTGGCGAGTCATGCGTCGATGCCAGCTCAGCCCCAGAGACAGACAGCCCTGGCAACTCCAGCACCAGCTAAGAAACCCACACCACCACCGCCACCAGCAACATCCAATCCACCGACACCATCGGTTACAGTGCCGACACCACCGCCTTCAGTCACACCAACGAGCATCAACACTTCAGTTCCTTCACCGGTTGTCTCTCACACACCCCAACCACCAGCCAGCGCTTTTCCACCTGTCAGTGCACCCTCCGATGGGGCCATCAGTCAACCCGATCTAATGGCGTCTTACAACTCATTAGGTACAGTACCAATTAATTCCTTAATTACACACCAATTATCGCAAATTGTCTTTGAATCTTCAATTTATCTCCCAGATAATCGAGTTTTTCGAAAAAACGGAAGAGTAATTTTTTTCGGGGCTTTCAATTCTCCACAAAAAACAACTCCTACGTTTTGTCTCTAAATCCCATAATTACTGAGTAATTCAACGATTACTAATGAGTGAAAATTTTTTGAGTGTTAAGGTAAATAAAGTTCTGTGATAATTTTCGAATTATCTCAGCAGCAAGTGGTTTTAAAGAAAACAGTGATAAGACAACTTATTTCGGGAATGAAATTCCCCTCGAAAAATTTCTCTGCCTTTTTTCTCTAAACCCCGGGGGTTTCCGTATAGTCCCCTCCAAAGATGAACGATGAAGAATCAAATCAAAAAGAAACTGTTTTACATGAATTTCTATAGACTAGTCTTTATTCCCACGTCAACAGCATCAATACCGACAACTCAGTCATCAGTGGATGCCCCGAACAATGGAAAAAAGGACTCCCACATGTCGATGGTCCAGGGTATGCACCCAATGACTCCAAACAACACGAGCATGAATATTCTCCAGGAGATGAAGAATTCAGTGAACATGATGCCAACATCTCTTCCCTCAAATCTCAATCTCACGGGCCTGAACATGAGTCTGGGCCTAAATCTGCAGCAGGGACTTGGCCAGAATCCCATGGCCCTGCACAATCAGCTGGAGAGCATGCTGAATCCCCCGAGCATTCAAAATTCTCACAACATGATGGGAACGTCTCAGCAGCACTCGAATGGATACAAGAGAGAGGGATCACCCCAGAATTTATTAAACAACAATGGAATACCTGGGATGAATCTCGGTATGGGAATGGGACCTATCAGCTCCATATTCGATCCACCCATGGTCAATATGCCCATGATTCCTCAACTTCCGGCTAAGAAAGAGGACAAACCGATCATTTCGCAGGCGCAAATGGCACATAAACCGATGGATGGTGAGTTTTTTTATTAATTTATTATATTCACCAGGGGTTATGGGACATTCTGGTGGTGGGAAATCGTTCTTTTGATTTTTTTTTCAACTGAAAATTCATTTCTCCTCGTGTTTTCAGGCGATTTTTTATTATTGCTATTTTGCAAGTGTCTGCAATAAATAATTAACGCCATCAGCTTTTGCTTTTACGATTGTTTAATCATTTGGTATCTTTTATTATAACAAATACATAATATCAAAAAATCAGTGCTAAAATAATAATTAATAATAACGATTCCCAGAAGATTTCATTGAAATTAATAACATCTAATAGCATTTTGTCATATAATATTTTTCAATAATATTTCAAGTGTGAATAATTATTGGTTAATGTTAATTATAAATTTTAACAATTGGTCTCACCATTAAATTCCCTTTCACCTCTAATTATCCAATAAATAACGGCTTGTACTAATCGAAAAAATTCTGAAACTCTGACGCTGTAGCGGGAGCTTTCTTTGCAGAGATGAGTTCCCTGGTGATGGCCCCAATAACGAATCACTCCAGTGGTCAACTGCCACCCGAGAAGAAAATGACACCACCGGATTCAAAAAATGCAGCTGGCAATTTTGCCGCTGCATTCAAAAATAAAACGGTCGAGCAGAATGTGAAGAATGCATCGTCGTGGTCGTCCCTAGCTCAGGCATCAAGTCCCCAGTCAACAGCTGGTAGCAGTATGAAAACAGCAGCCAGAGATTCATTTCAGGCATTTAAAAAGCAGGCCAAGGAGAAGCAGGAGAGACAGAGGGCACTCGTTGAACAGCAGGAGATGAGGAGATTGCAGAAAGAGCAGGCGGAGAGGGAGCGCCTGAGGCAGGAGACTGAGAGGAGACAGAGGGAGGAGGAGGATGCACTCGAGAAAGTCATGAAGACTGTTACGGAACAGGGAGCTACTATCACTGCTACCACGAGAGCTGAGGAGATTAAAGTATCGACTGAAACTGACAGTAGCAGTCCTAGTCAGACATCTGGATCTGATAAAGCTGCGGCTGAGAGGGAGAGACAGAGACAGCGGGAGCAGGAGCGTCGGCGTCGAGAAGCTGTGAGTGAATTTTCATTATTTATCTTTATTTATCTTTATTTACTCCCTTGCACTAAACAAAATAATGGAAATATTCAAAGGAATCGATTAGTTTTAGTAATTGAAAGAGTAAAATTTTTTATTGAGTTAGAATGGGAATTCTGGGCAGGACTTTTTTTATGGGAAAATAAATTCTGGGGAGATAGAAGATAGTGCAATACCCCCTAATTTAATTTTTTCAGATGGCAAATAAGATTGACATGAATATGCAGAGTGACTTGATGGCAGCATTTGAGGAAACGTTATAATATTCCTTACCCCCAAGGACTAGGAAGAACAACCCTCGCAGGCCGCTCAAGGCTCTCCAGCCCCTTGGCCTCCACCAATCGCTAAAAACAGTCCAAATAATTAATTCCCTGAAGTGTTTAGTGTACAATTGGACAATTCTGGGTGACTGCCACCCAGTCGAAAAATAGATAAAAAGCTTGGATAAAAGACAGTGAACATTAAATAATATTCCCAAGTGGGATAATTCAATTGAACAATTTAATAATCGACAAACAATCGATGAAGTGATGTGTAGTCGACGGACACACGAGTGTGACCCAATGTAATTAGTGAAAAATACTTACAAAAGAAATGAAAAACGCTACTCTGATAATTCATGAACTAAACAACAGGAAAAATAACGAAAACAGGTAAAAAAAGGGATGAGGTGAGAGTAAACCGAAATAATTGTGTTAAGTTTATCGGTTTTGCTAAGTTTGTACTTTATGTAAATTTCGAGACGATAAAAAAATAACAAAAAATGCATTAAAAAAAAAAAATATATAAAATATAACGAGAGATGAGTGATTTGTGGATAAGACGATGAGAGCGTATGTTTGAATAACTGGAAGGAAAGAAAAACGAAAAAAAAAACACATTAATTAATAATAAATGAGAGAACTTAAAGAGTAATGATGATAACTATGAAGTTGTGTACATTTAGTTAAGTTTTATATTTTTCCACAATTCAGTCATTAATCGTTGGTAGGAGTTTAGATGATTTCCGTTCCTCTGGCGATGATTATTCAGTTATTGGGAATTATTAGTTGTCATTATTTGGGTTTGAGTGATTTTTCTCGGGGGAAATGGGGTTTTTTTCTCTTTCGTTTGAGGGGTGGGTGTCATGGGGGGTTCGGGAAGTGTTTTGGTGAGTAGGTAGGACTTGTTGAGTCAATAATGTGCAAGGATACCTAATTAGATGAAATTTTTCAGGGGTGAGTGTCGTATTTACGAGGAATTGAGCGAGTGGAACGGTTGTCTCGATTATCTCGGAAATGGGGGGAGATACAGGAAAATGTCTTGGGACATTTTTTCGAGGTCGAGAGATTCTCGAGAGATTATGTTTCTTGACATTTTCTCGTGGAAGCACTCGTTGTCGAGATAATCACGGATTTGGGGGGGCAATCTCGTTTTACTCGTCTCGTTTCTTTAATAAACTCTATTAAATAATTAAAATTAATTGGGAACTCGGTGATTCCCAGGAGGTCGGTGTTTTCGGTATGATTAGTCATCCTTGAACAAATGCTGTCAATTATTACAAGAGTAATGGGTAAGGAATTTTTCAAATCAAACGATTGAAAAATCAATTGAAAAAACACTTCAGTTTAATTTTTTATTTACGTAAAATCGAATTTTCTCGACTTTTAAATCTTTTCCTTTCTCTTTGGATGGAAAATTCATGCAATACATTGAATAATTGAGGATATTTCTCGTTTATAAACTTTGGTAATGAAAAAGTACAAAAATCGATGGGAATATTTCTTTTGTATTTGTAACTAAAAAATATATAATTATTGGATTATCTTTCGGACAAAATAGAGGGGAATGTTCTCGAGGGATTAATATCCAATCGAGATGTGAAATCGGAGTTAAAGTTGTAGTTTAGTGACACTAGATAATGATTATAATGAGAAACAGAGTTGAATAATGTGAACTGTAAAATATTAAATTATTTTGAAAAATCTTATTTTTGCTATTTTTTTGCCAGATTCATGAGTTTTGTTGTTTTCTCTCTTAACTATTACTTTCCGCAATGGAAATCCACTGGATCGCTAATCAATCGGTTATTTGATTAGTCAAATTGCAATACAAAAAAATTAATTCTCAATGTATCCTTTTTTTTTCTTTTACTTTGTTTTTCACTTCTGCTCGTTAATCAGTGAATAATTAATCTATTCATCTAATTATCTTGAAAAATATCTCGCAATTATTCTTATCAAATAATTAGAGGAGAAAAATTATTGGTGATGATTTTAGAAAGGAAGATAGTGGGAGATGTTAAGTTAGGGAGTTACAAAAAATCTGACGTGAAGTTGAAAGGGTGTCATTATCTCGGTAACTACTGGTCCCATGGAAAAATTTTATTGGAACTTTTTTGTAGCTCTTGATGTTCACAACAAATAATTCCTCTTACGTTTCTCCCTGGGATCAGCTGTTCTCGTGGTAGACGCGGGTTTAGATGTAAAAATTTATTGCTCACTTCACTGAGGAACTCGTTTATGTCAGATTATTACTTTCTGATTTTTATTAATTAGTTGTTAATTGATAGGGTATAGGCCGTGTCATGTATAGAATTAAGTGTATAGGTAGAATTTATAAATGTGAGAAAAATATATATAGAGAGAGAGAGAGAGGGACAGCCCTTTTATCGAGAGTACACAAGTGAATTTTTGATGTTTTATTTTTGTTTTCATTCATTTTCCCTTTCTGTCGTTGTTAGTTAATTTAATTGATGGGTTTGGGATTCTGGGGAGACTGCGGGTGAAAGTTATTGAGGTGAAGTGAATTACTCATAATTGCAGATGTAATTGTGAATTTTTTCCCTAAAATATTGCAAAATCGATATTTCACTTCACCACGAGAAATAAATCCGGAGAAGTGCAACGCATTTTCGCGTTTATCTCGGTAACGAGTGTTTTTAGAGGGGTAAGTCATACCAACTATTTTCTAGAGAACAAAGTTCTCCACGAAAAAGTCCTCTGGCATATCACTCCAAATTCACTCATTACCGAGATAATCACGGATTTAATAAGTGCTCAAGCATACAATCATTCAGTTTGAACGGAATACCTTCACAACCATCCGATTATCTCGTTAATGAATGGTTTTACGAGAAAAATCAATAAGTCTTTTTTTTCGCGAAATTGAATTGTCGACAAAAAAGGTCTCATGTCCCACAGCCGTAAACCCACCCATTAACGAGATAATCAATAATTAACGAATGCAATCGTCAAACTACTATCAGAGAACATTGCTAATTACTCAATTACCTCGTTAATTACCTATTAATTACCGAATCCAGCTCACTACTCCGAAAGAGGAAAATCTCAGGAAAATCCCTCACCCTGAAACCCACCCCCAATCGATTCAAAACCGATAAATGTAAAAAAAAAATGCTTCCATCCCCTCCCAATTGTTACTCTAATTACCAATTACTAATTACTATCGTTCGACATTGAAATAATTCCAGTTAATCCCTTCATTCACCCAAAATAACCGAGAGGGAATAAATCACTGAAATAGTGATGATAAAAAATCTCACTCAAAAAATCACAAAAAAAAGACAAATTAATTAACGAAAAAAAAAAATTAATTAACATCTGTACGACGATAGAATTAAGTGAAAGTACGTGTGATAGGTATTATAGCTGTACAATACACATTTCTAAGAATTGTAAATAAACCTCGTAATAACTGGGACAACCAATAAATCATTGGCAGCAAAACTACTGTATAAAAGCAAAAAAAAATCACTAATTACTCTAATTAAGGAACTTTGTAACATCAACGAGGTCAGGGGAGTGTAAGTTATTACTTAGATCTCATCGTGAGTTTTATCTAATGCTATTTGCGAGGATAATTAATGAATAGTTGATTAAGTAAACACCAAATCACTCCTGTCAGATGAAATAAATTTTTATAAGTTCCCACTGGCGCACACTATTCTCCAATGGCACATTTAGAGAGTGAATATATGAAACTTAATTCTAATCGACTATTAATCGATGATTGATTATTTATAGAGAGTAATGATGATGGTTGTACATAAATAATTAATGAAGAAGTGAAATAAATGGCTAATAAAACAAGTAGAAGGGAATGGTGGATTCATTGGGGAATACTTCGGAAACGATTGATTTATGGAAAAATTTTGGGGAATCTTTTTTGTGTGGAATTTTATTCTCCTCAAAAAAGGTCCTATTACATTTTTTCGGAGGTTCACTCGTTTGGGAAATAATTGGATAATTAGGAAGGGGTGGAGGTGAACATAACCTTTCCTCCATTCCAACAACAAGTGTTTTTCTGAAAATATCTCAAAACCACGCGATTTTAGAAAAAAAAGTGAAAAAAACTTTTAAACTCAAAATTCCTTTTTCCACAAAAAATGTTCAATAACATTTTCTGTAAATCTAATAATCAATGACATAACGAACAATTATTCGCTAGTTCAATAATTGAATAAAATTTTTCGTTGGCATTCAGATTAAAGTAATTAATAATTCGAAATCTTTAAAAATAATTAAAAATTAACAAATAAAAGTGATTAATTAATGAATAATTTAGAGTTTAGACTATGAATTAAAATGGCGGTTTCAATTTGAAATTCGAATTCAGTGACTCGACAACTTCAGACCACAAAAAAACAGCCAACTTCAGACCTCAGAAAAACCGCCAACTTCAGACCCCAGAAAAACCGCCAACTTCAGACCCCAGAAAAACTGCCAACTTCAGACCCCAGAAAAACCGCCAACTTCAGAC